TAAATCTATCTTGCTAGGACTTTCGAAAATCTAGTACAAATAATTATTGCCAAAGTCAACATAAAGAACACTTGCTTCTGTTTCTTCGCTGCGACACAACATTTCACGAATTTCAATACCTTTTCCTATTTCTGGGGGTGAGGATGGAATCGTTTGCATTAGCCAAAGTGAAATGAGCTCATTAATAACACATAGCACCGACAGAATGCATTTGAAGCACATAACCATCATATTACATCAGCCCTGTAACATATTCCTCATGTGTGTCTGTGCACACTTGTGTATGCTATGGGCACCAACCGAGTTTGGCCTTGGGAGAGACCTGAATGAGATCACAGTTCTGCCACTTACGTTACACAAATGCCATGGGATTTACAGCGCATCCCTCTTCCAAACAAAAATTCAGACTCGCTGCATGCAAAATTCAGCACCCCTTCTCATCTTGCTCCAATGTCCGTCGTGTCCACCCTATGTGACATTTTTGTGCAAATGTGATATGCTGCTTCCCCTTACATCAAAAGTGGCTGCCTATTCCTGCCCCCCCTTCAGCAATGCTCTCTCTAAAAGCATCTAGAATATCACACTTCTCTGGGCAACCGTTGCTCAAAAAGTGGAAATGATTCATTAATGGATATTCAGCGTGTTGGTACTTTTGATTGGCTCTGGCATACAGCATGCTTTTAATTCTGTATCAATAGACTTTCAAAACACACAATATAGAGTTTTAATTGCTGCAGGGTTCCCTCCTCCTCCTCCCACTGGCCTTTTATTCAGTGCAGAGTTAAGTGCACTGAAAGTGATGCTAAGAGGCTGCTGGTGCTCCTGCGAGACAAGCATGGCAATCATACTCTGTGTGCTTCTGACCCCCCCTGCAGGGGGACTCACAGCTCTCGCTCAATGAACAGCGTTTAGGTACAGAGTGTGCCACATACATAGCCAATCCTATATTCAAGTTACGCCAGCTGCATGAGGATGGCAGTCACTACTAAATTCCTGTTGCACAAGTGGGAAAAGTCATTACGCCGGCAGGTGATCCGAGTTCTATGCAATTCACTCTAGTTGCTGATCAGCAATTCGTTTCCAGGTTCAACAGGAAGGTGCTGGTGTTAATCTTTCAAATCTCTTAACAGCTTGGATTCCTTAGGAACCACCATTTTCTGTATGTTCTACACCTCATGAGCCATCATCATCTGGGGGCCTGTTCCAATTCCCTCCATCTCAGTAGCCAAGGGTTGGGATTTGTGTTGTGGGATTTGTGTTGAGCGAAGTCAATCATGCCCTATCACTACACTGTGCTGGGTGATCACTGAAGACGCTGCTGCTTTTATTTTTAAAAGGTTTTTAGTTAAATGGCTGATTTTTGCTGCATCAGCTCCATGTCACCTTTGTGCAGCTGGAATTTGTTAAACAGGTTGGATACTGCTAACTTTTTAATTTAAATGTCCATTGTTGTATTTCAGGGACTATGCTTGTTTCATTCTGGTTTTTTTATTACAGTTTCTTGAGTCTTTTTGGAGAGATTATAAGTGTGTGTGTGTGTGTGTGTGTGTGTGTGTAAATTTATACTGTGACTGCAACACTACTGCAAATCACAGAATCAGAGTCGGAAGGGACCATAAGGGTCATCTAGTCCAACCCCCTGCAATGCAGCAAACATTTGCCCAACATGGGGCTCAAAGCCATGACCCCGAGATTAAGCGTCTCATGTTCTACCGACTGAGTTATCCAGGTCAAAACACAAAGCACAAATTTCATATTTAAGACATGGGGCTACATTGCTGTCCCCTCATGCCTAGACACACATGGTGAAATACGTGGACACTCTGGCAATGGGAAACTTGGGGAAAAGCACTTAGGGCACTGCACTTGCCAATCAGGACTAACACTCCCCTCTCCCCTCCTGCTGCAATCTCAATAATTATCTCCCAGCAGCTGTGAAAAACATGCATGCTAAATACAGCAGTGCAAGTAATGCCCAGGTTGTTGACTTTGGATGCAAATCCCTCCAGAAGCAAATGCAACTCTTGCAGGGGTGACACCGGTTCCTGATCCTGCACCAGAGGACACAGCACATGTACGTAGCTAGGACTTGGAAGCTTTCTACACACAATACACAGTTGGATGTGCATTCAGCTCATTCGAAGGTTGGTACCCAGTCCTAACCTCAGCTCGCACCATCTTTTGCTCTCAGGCTCCTCTCCTCTCTCCCTCTGCTACACAATGGCCTACAACTTGCACCTCCAATACTTTCTGCAGTTCTAGTTCTATCCCCTACCTTGACTTGTAATGCTCCCTTCTTCTCCAGAGGCCGATTCACACATTACACAGCAAGAAATGAGCCAACAGAAAAGCCCTGATCACAATCCCATCTCATAGACCCAGCAAGACCCATGTTAGGCCCCTTCACACTTTATCCTTTTAGGTGTGCCCCCAAACAAGTAATGGGTGAAGACACTCATGGCCTCTATAGCAGGTGTGCCCAACGTGGCATCCTTCAGACGTTGGCCTCCAAATTCCATCAGCCCCAGCCGGCTTAGTCAGAGATCATGGGAATTGGAGTCTGGCCACATTTGGAAGACACCATGTTGACTACATCTGTAGATCAGGCCTGGTATGACAGCCAACATCTGCTTCTAACTGGCAGAGAGATTTTACTCTTCTTCTTCTTTTGATTCCTGCTCCACAGCATGCCTTTTTTATATCCGCTGCCTGGCAAGAAGATTTTACAGGACAAGAGCCGGGTAGCGGATGTGTTTGTAACCCATGACACAAATGCTGTATCTCAGCGCAAAGTCAGACAGCCGGGCACCATGTTGAAAGGGGCATTTTCTCCACCTCCTTGTGCTGCTGGCAGGTTTTTTTAAAAAACGGTGTGGCAGAATATACAGGAAGCTTTCCCGGCTGGTCACTTGAACTAAATTTATGTTCACCACTGGCGACCAGGCAGCCATATTTCTGAGCTCTTGTCTAGTGAAATCGGCCATTGCCAGGCACTCTCAAGCTACTTACTCCTCTACCTCTTCCAGTCTTTGGCTCCCATTCCTTGGCTCTGCTTCTCCCCTTAATCCTGATTGCCATTTCAGTTCTACCCCCCCCCCCCGCCCAGCTGTCCCCTAGCACCTTCCATCACTTTGTAATAGCCTCAAATAAAACAGGCTGGCAGCCCCTCAACTTCCTCCAGGCACATCACGGTCCTGAATTTCAATAGCCACTTCAGGTTAGCTTGATCAAAATGCAATTCTTCTTCCCCCCCCTCAACCAGCCCACGTATATAATCAGGGCTGCAATGGCCTCTTCTCCATGGTCCCTGTTCTAATCCAGGCATAGTTGCGTGTGAGAGAGTATGCCAGACTGCTAAGGCTGTTTTGGACTGTAGAAGCAGATCAGGCTATACAAAAAGCACGAAAGTCCTACACTTTCTCCAGTGGAGATATGATCCTTCACTTTCTCTTTGGACTGAGGGCAAGATTCATATAATCAAATCTGGATAAAAAACTGTCTCCCCTTGTTTTTAAAATCTATGTACCAGGGAGATATTCAGCAGATACGTCTTATCTATCACTGCAACACCGTGACAGAAGTTGTACCTGCACAACTTCCCCTTGGAATACAGATTTCCAAGGCGCAAGAGCACCTTTCAGATATTAGTAGCCTGCCATTTATCCTCAGACATTGTAACTCGGCTCAGCACAGATGTGGGACGCCTGCCGTCCGGAGCACATCTATTAAACCTTCTCCTGCATTACATCGGTACAGAACTTACACGACTGTAGGTCTTCACTGCCATTGCATGCACTGTACGTTGATCAATTTGAGCTGCATCTCATCAAGGATCTCTTTAATGTCACAGCTCGGCATGGGAACACGCCAATCCCCACGAGCGAACCCCGAGTGCTCACCTCTCGCCAGTATGCAACTACAATTTGCCCAGGGTCCCTCTTGCACCTGATTATGGCTTCCAAGTCAAAGAGCGAGGATGCTGAGCTCATGCCTCTCATTTGGGTAATTAGACCTTGTTTGCACCTGAGTGGTTTAGAGTGGCACGGAAAGTGAAGCTGTTACCCTCATCAGATTCATCCTCCCTTAAACAATAATTACATCCTAGAAAAGGAAGAAGATGCATCCTAAATAGAAACAAGCACGGCAAGGGCAAAGGAGGAAAAAAAGAGAGAATATTTTATTCCACTTAACGTTCTAAAAGTGGTCCAATCTTCTGAATCTTGGATTAATGCCTCTTGCCAAGTTGTCATAGTTAAGACTTTTTAAAAACATCCTGGAACCTTTTTCTTTTGTTAAAGTACCGCGACTCCCCCTCCCCCCTTTGTGTGTGACTCCTTTTGTTTAATCCAAACAAAAGAGGAAGATTTGATTGGGAATTGGAGAATGCAGTGGGTCCTTGCATGCCCATCTCTGCCGCTGCTTTCTTATCCTTAGGTGAGCACCAGCAATTTGCAACAGCACATCTATTCCCCGCTCTTCCAAACGTAGTTAAACACAGGTGACATTTCAGGTAAAGATGATGGGAGGGTTAAATAATGGATTGGATAATATCCTCTAGGATTCTTTCACCGGAGCGTTAAATATGGGAGGGATGTAGAAAAATGCATTATTCCATCCCTTGTAAAAACATCCCCACATCTCTCCGTCTCTCTTAAATCCATCAAATTTGCTGAGGATGAGAAAATATTCGTACCTAAGGAGAAGGGTGTTATTCGAGCCATTCTATATCCTAAAATTCATGGCAATTGTTTGCTTCGCTTAGCACCTTTTAAAGTTAACTGTGTCCAGTAGAGACGGGACTCTCTTACAAAAAGAAGGGGGGGGGAGTGGGCAATGTCAAGGGTGTTTAGTCTTAAAACATTGTCCCCCGAGAGAGAGAGAGACTCTCCTGCCCCCCCACTCAATATTTATTTATTTTATTTAAAAGAAGAAGAATACGGTGAAGATCTCTCTGTTCATGGCACAGATCTATTCCTCTCCATGCGGTTTTTTGTTTTTACCTGAGGAAATAAATGCGTCGTCTTGTTTCGCGGGTAAGTTGCGACGAGGATCTCCAAGATCAGCCGGGCGAGGGTCTCCGGCGGGATCTCCCGGCGCTTAAAGGCGACCGCGGCACCCTGCTCCAGGATGTGAAAGGAGGCGGGCAGGCGAGCAGGCAGGCAGGCGTCCGTCCGGCTGCAAGGCTACAGGTCTGCCGGCTGCGGCTGCAGCACGTGCCCCAGTGGCGGCGGCGGCGGCGTCTTGCGCGCGATCCAACTCCGGGCCGCCGCCTCCTCCTCCTCCTCCTGGCCAAGCTTCCCGCCGACTGGAGCGCAGCCGCTTCGCCGGGCGCCCTTACAAAGCAGCGCCGCTCGGCGCACCTCGAAGCTTGCGGCTCTGGGTGGAAGGAGGCGAGGAGGAGGAGGAGGGTTTGCTTTTAAGGCCCCCTCGGCGGAGGAGACGCCGAGCAGCGGCCCACATCCCGGCGCGCCACCTTAAGAGGAGGGAAAGCGGGCTGAGAGCGAGAAGGGCGACCCGGGAGGAAAACGGCACGCGCGCCTTGGTCGCGTCTGGTGCAGAAGGGCTCGCTTGCTCGGCAAGCAGGCAGCTTGGAAGAGCCTGTCTCATCTTTCTCCGACACGCCGCCTTTTTAATCCCCAGGGGGTGCGGGGGTGCGCCGGAGCGGAAACCCCTACGCGATTTCTTTCCATAGGCCGCCGCCGCCGGGTTCTTCTGTTCCCACGATCGCTAACCCGGGTTGGAAAACGAAAAAGCTACGCACATACTCGCATGCGGGGAAAGACGGGGGCTGTGACTGTGAGGAGACCGGGGAGACGCTGGCTGGTGGGAAAGCTCCCCAACCCCCAATGACCACGGTTTAATGATGCGGATGGCATGCGCAAAGAAGCGTGTTGAGGGAGGCGCGCTTCCTCATGGGGGTTTGGGGTTGCAAACGGGTCGGCTTTAGAAAGGGTGTGAATCTGGATTAGATTGGGTGCGAGCGGGCTGACAGGTTGATGGCAACGCGGTGCTGTAGACGCTGCAAAGAAACTTGCAGGCGCTGATCCCAGGACAGGCAATCTTATAGAAGGGACCTGATACGTAGAAAGCGGCTTTGGGTGTTTTGGGAACCAAGTGTTGAGAGCGGAGGAGAAAATGCAGGAGAAAGCCATGTTGAAAGGACTCCGAGTTTAGCAAGGCAGCTCTGCCCTTTGCAAGGGAACACCTGTATGTATTGCACCTGCGTGTCCCATGACAAACGTGCAGCGAGTGGGGGGCAATATACTGGTCTGTGCTCTCTAGGAAACGGTAGGCCCTTCATGGTTAGTAGATGTGTGTGTCCAGTAGGGGTGGAGGGGAGAGGGGAGAAAACTGAGTCTCATTCAAAGGTGTCTCCATCTTATTTGCACTTTTGGAAACAAGGCATGAGCCAAAAACACAACCATCCTTTGAAATTTGCACTTCTCTGAATTCTGCAATGCAGTTCTCCTGCCAAGCAATGTGTACAAAAATGCATATACTAGGGTGAAGTGTCCAAAAAAAGTGCATATAATGCAAAAATGCATTGGATCAGGGAAAAAATGGCTTACAAAAATGTGTATATTAGGCAGCACTGCACAGTTTTTTTTAAAAAAGGAGACATTTGCACTAAAACACTGTTGAGTATCATAAGCATTTGAAACAAAAATTTGCAAACTGATGTTAAAATGTGGAGAACTGAACTTAAGACTGGAAAAATGAAAAACTGAAATTGGCAGAATCGCCCATCCCTCCTATCCAGGGAGCTTGAAGACACATATGTATTGCTCCCTAATGAGGAAGGGTTGCAACAATTGAAAGGCTTTTTTCAGCTTAGAAAAAAGAGGGATGATGTGATAGAGATTATACAAGTATGCATAGTGTGAAGAAAGCATATAGATAATATTTTTCTCCCTCTCTCATGATTGGGGTCATTCAGTGAACCCGAACGTTGGAGGATTCAAGACAGGCCAAAGAAAGCCCTCCCCTCAATACAGCACACAGTTAAACTGTGGAACTCTCTAAGATAAGATGTGATGATTGCCATCAACTTGAATGGCTTTAAAGGAAGACTAGGCAAATTGAGAACAAGGCTGCCAGTGGCTATTCATTAGGATGGCACCTCCGCTATGAGAGGCAGTCTGCTTCTAAAACCCATTGTTGGGGAGTGCAAGTGGAAGAGTGTTCTTTGGGTCTGATCCTGCAAGGCTCTTACGTCTGATGCAACTCCAGTGTTTCCCATTGACAGCTTGAGCTCACTCCCAAATGCGCACTCCTCCATTCTGTCTTCTGAGACAGATGGATGCCAATTAAAGTGTTCCCCTTAGCAGTTATATTGATGCTGAAATATCATTAAATAAATGGTTGTATCATTCGGTCAACTTTTCAATCACCAGTTCTTAACAACTTTAATCAGGCACTTAAAAAAAAAGTTAGATACAGGGTTTTATAGAATGCAAAAACGTAGGTGGCAGATACTGTCTTAAAAGAGACCTTGCCTCCCCCCCCCCCGTCACATAGACACACACATAATGGCATGCCTAAGACGCCTGCCATCTTAGACATGTTGCATTATCTACAAACAAAGGAAGTATTTTTGCCAAAGCTATTGTTTATTCATATGCAAATATATGCAATTTAATTAATCAATTGACTAATGCTCTCACTGTTATTAATCCAACGTTATACTAATCCTTGTTAGGTGATCTTCAAGTGCGCTTTGCATTTTTTCACATCCCTGTGCAACTGAGCCAGCAACCTGCCAGTGGGATTTGTTAAAAAAAAGAGAGAGAGGCTGGTATAAGGAGAGCTGAAATTGCAGAATTGCTGAAATGGGGAATTGTATGAATTCTGCACATTTGCAAGCATTCAGGTCCAATGCGAGTGACTGTGAGTCCTGTAAAGCTCAAATAAGAACATAAGAGCACAACAGAATTTCACCTGAGATTCCTAACAGAGGCATACTGACAGTGGAAGCAGAACATATGTTGTTGTTGTTTAGTCGTGTCCGACTCTTCGTGACCCCATGTACCAGAGCACGCCAGGCACTCCTGTCTTCCACTGCCTCCCACTCATGCTGTCCAACCATCTCGTCCTCGGTCGTCCCCTTCTGCTTGTGCCCTCCATCTTTCCCAACATCAGGGTCTTTTCCAGTGAGTCTTCTCTTCTCATGAGGTGGCCAAAGTATTGGAGTCTCAGCTTCAGGATCTGTCCTTCCAGTGAGCACTCAGGGCTAATTTCCTTAAGAATGGATGTGTTTGATCTTCTTGCAGTCCATGGGACTCTCAAGAGCACCATAATTCAAAAGCATCAATTGTTTGGCGATCATTCTTCTTTATGGTCCAGCTCTCACTTCCATACATCACTACTGGGAAAACCATAGATTTAATTATACGGACCTTTGTTGGCAAGGTGATGTCTCTACTTTTTACCCATTCTTCCATGAATTGGTCTAATTCACTTTTAAAGCCATCACTGCCTCCTGTGGGAGGGAGTTCCATTGTCTAACTATTCACACAGCAGCGACCAGAGAAGGAATGACCACTGGGAGGAGCACAGAGAGAAGAAATGCCATGGTGCATCTGCAGCAGCAAAATTGGACTCCTTTGTATGCCCCAGCTGCAGCAAAACATGTCTCTCCCATATCGGTCTCTACAGCCACTGCAGGCGCTGTAACTCTCCAACAGTTTGACTCCCCCAAAGGAGCACCTTGTCTCCTGAGACAGACGGATGCCAGCAACTAAGTGCAAAGAAACTCTTCTTTTTATGTGTCCCATATCTTCCAACATTCATCTTCATTGGATGTGCACAAGAGCAGGAGAACTTCTCTATTCACCTTCTCCATGCCTCGCACAATTTTATGAACTTCTGTCATATTGCCTCAAACTCATTTTTTCTCAGATGCTGCAGCCTTTTCTTATAGGAGGGTTGCTTCTTTCTCTTGATAATTTTGCTTGCCCTTTTCTCATACGAGATACTAATCCTGTGCACACATGCACACTGCAACCTTTAATTTCGTAAGGGATAGTCTCTTGCAGCAGACACAACAAAGAGTATGATTAAATGCTCCATCTTAAATGCATCTATTAGTCCACAAAGGCTGAGGCCATAATAAAGTTTGTCACGTGTTAAGGTGACACAAGACTATTGTTTTACTTCTGTAGTCACGACTCCTGGAGATCCCTTTTGCAATTTACAAGCTGCATCATGCATATATTAGGGTACTTCTAGATATAAGCTTAATATTGCATGTAGTCATTCAGGCATCACTTTGACAACAGCTCCCTCCCCCCCCCCCCGTTTATCGGCTTTTGTTTTAGCATTATAGACACTTCCAGGTCACATGGCCAGCGTGACAAGCTGCATCTGGCGATCCAGCGCAGCACACGGAAACGCCGTTTACCTTCCCGCTAGTAAGCGGTCCCTATTTATCTACTTGCACCCGGGGGTGCTTTCGAACTGCTAGGTTGGCAGGCGCTGGGACCGAGCAACGGGAGCGCACCCCGCTGTGGGGATTCGAACCGCTGACCTGACGATCGGCAAGTCCTAGGCGCTGAGGTTTTACCCACAGCGCCACCCGCGTCCCATGTTAAACAGTACCCTTTCTTAAAAGTACCCCCTTTTCTGCTTCAGGGCTGGGCCCTGCTTCTGTGGCTCTCCAGAGGCTGCTGGACTCAGAACTCCCATTAACCTAAGGCAGCATGGTCAATGGTTAGCGGCGATGGGAGATCTCATCCAGTAGCAACTGTAGGGCTTCAGGCTGAACACACCTGCCTTGTGTCTTGGTCAGTGCTAACTGGCATTGGGTAAAAGCAGCTGTTTGCAAGCATGCCAGAATATGAAATGCGTAAACTGCAGAGCTGCTTCCCAGTTAAAGAAATCTCTGACTAGTAATGTGATTTGTAGCCAATTACGTGATTAAATTTGAATGAATTTGCATATGAATACAGCATTGATCTGAATAAAAATTGCATACTTAGTTCTTAGAACATTCGCCAGCCATTATCACCTTTAAAATGAGAGGGACATGTTGCTACATGATTTAGGTGCCATTCTGCAATCAGGATTTCATATAAATTAATTACTTGCAGTTGTGGAAAGCTAGAGGGTTGTTGTTTTTTGAAGGAGGGGAGCCTAGGTTTGGCCTATTGGCTCACCCTCTTCTGTTCAGCATTTTAGCAGCTTTCTAGCTGTTGTGCTTCTGAGCAACCCCTTTCCCACTGCTCTGTTGATTGTCAAGTTAGAAGAGAGCTCATGGAGGACAGCACAGGAATAATATTTTATTTTTATTTTTACCAGATTAAAAAAAAATGGTTGCCCCGATTAGTTGTGTGCTTGTTTTTAATCAATTAGAATGTTAATCTAAAGGATTAATCAACTAAATGTTGTAGCTGAGGAGAGAGCTTGCTACAGACCCGGCTTCTGTTAGGTCGGGCTGTTAATCAGCACAAGCCTTGCATTCTGCGGCAGCCGTGAGCAATTAATTTCTGTGAAATCCTGGTTGCAGGAGAACACCTACAGAAGTTGATGCTTCCCAAAGCTGCTGTGTAATTTACCAGTCATTTCTCTAGGCAGGAGAAAAGGACAGAGAGAGAGAGAGAGAGAGAGAGAGAGAGGAAGGAACTGTCGAACAACCAGGTTCTGCTCGGTCCCTTCTCTGATGGTTTTAGTCCTTGCCAGCAGCAATGTGCCCTCTTCCCTTCTGCCCGCTGCATTTGCACTCGTGCTTGGAGGAAGCGGCTCCCAACAGGATCATCAGGGCAAGGTTCCTCAACACCCTCATCCATCCAATCCTAGCCCCAGCTGGGCAGTGTAATGAGAGGCAGAGTCCT